TGGGTAAGGCGTTTAGTGAGTTTTAGGATGCATTTTGAGGTTCAATAAGTTCTAATAGAATTTTTAGCTTGGATTTGTGTTCTAAACACATTTTTGGCATTTGATTTTTATGGGTCTCATCTTAATTCATCAATTTTGGTATTTTATTTTACTCTCTTTTAGAAATTTTCATGTCCTTCTAATTAAGTCCCTCTTGCATTAATTGCTTTGTACATAGTTGGTTTGTCTATGTAAATACTTTAATTGACTCAATTTAGTGTTTAACTTTCATTTTTCATATTTAATTTTTGTTTCATGTGATTATTTGATAATTTAAGTGGTACCTTGACCTTTTTATTATTTTGGAGGGTAAGTTAGTAATTTCACTACGTTAGGGCGTCGCTTCAAGGGAGGTACACTCTATCCTTCATTTGCACTACATTTGACCTTACGTGCTCCTACGTGTTATGTGAATATGCATGCCTACTCCGCTTTCCTTACCTCCTTGCGTGCATTTAGTTGCTTTTACTTTTATTTAAGCTTTATGGGGTATGTGTACACCTCTTGGCTTGTAATAGATAGGGTTTTGGCGAGCAATTTGGTCCATTCTCCCTCTTCCCCCTTTTGTTTTAGTTAGTGAATGTAATAGGTTCATTAGCTTGGTTGCATGCCCATGTGCTACGTGTTACTTGCTTTATTAGGGCCTTGCATCTAGTCGAGCATGCTAAGTGTTACATGCTACGTGTTTATGAATTTTGATATGCCTACTCGCTTTCCATAGCCTTGAATGAATGTGATGGATGAATGCACGTCACCACGCTAGTCTAACGCTAGTTGTGGCCCTTGTACGCCACCACACTAGTCCAACGCTAGCTGTGGTTCATTGTTCCGTTCCACTAGTCCAACGCTAGTAGGAACTCATAGAGGGCTAGTCCAACGCTAGACCCAATAGGTCCATTTCCTTTTCATTAGTGCATTATTTGCATGTTCACTACATATCATGTAATTTTCCTTAGTTTTATCATTTGGCATGCTCCTTTAAACCTTTCCCCTTCACTTTAGGTCTTGCATTTCATGCTAGTTAGGGTACATTTGCTTGAGTGTCCCCTCCGATAAGGGAAACGAGCGAGTGTGGCTACTCGATAGCCTTAGCACGCTAGTTTCGCCTTCTAATCAAAGGGAAAATAGAAGTCGAAAGGTTAGGAGTCAACCCCCGTACCCGACTTGTTGCATTCCCCTAGGGTCATACTTTCATTTTTATCACATCCATACACTTTTTTAACCACAATTTTGCACATTTCTCAAACCATACTTTCTCACTACATTTTCCTATCACGTGCTTATTTCCACCTCACAAATGAAATTCCACTTTACCTTATATATCTATTATTCTATTTTTCACACATTTGCACACAAAAAACACTTGAATTTTATACAATTTCACACATGCACCTTTTTATACATTCGCACACTTGCACTTACATTTCTTGCATCTTTCATACACTTTCACACTTGCACACTTGAATTTGAACTCTCATTTGCATTAATCGACCTCTATGAGGTTTTCCTTTGTTGGCCGCCACAATTCATGTGGTTTGGGACCAAAAACCTTACAAGAGACATTTTAGAATTTAGGTTTGCATTTTGTCCTTCTTTTTGCATTCATGTAGTGCATCCAAATGTAATAAATTCTTTGGTTAAAACAAGAAAAATTTTGATTAAATCATGCAACTAGCCTTGGCTAGGTCAAAGGGGTGCCTTGGTTTTATCCTTGCCTTCCCCTTTGTCAAATGTGACTCCCGAACCTTTTTCATTGGTTTACGTAGATTAGAAGTCGTTTAAAAAGGGTTTCTCACTACTTTTTCGATTTTTCCTAAAAATCCATTTTTAGGTGATTTGGTACACCTTAACTCATTACCAAGTGGCGACTCCCATTTTTTCAAAAACCCTTTTTAAACTATAATTTTGGGTCAAATCGTCGCATTCTCAAACCCCCATTTAGGCCCATTCATTTTCTTTTAAATCACGATTCATTTTCCAATCATCACAAAATCCATTTTTCAAACCATTTATTTATTTCATCAAAAATGGGGCGCGACAGTTGGCGACTCCACTGGGGAACTTTCGAGAGTCCGAGCAAATATGATTTAATCAACCTTTTTCTTCTTTTAACCTTTTCATTTATCACATTGGATGTTTAGGATTGCATTTTTCCTTTTTTTAGGATTTTTGCATTTCGCGTATTAACTCACTTCCTCACACATTCGACTACGATTGTTTGGATGGATGGATGATTTATTTTTGTATGATTTCGCGCTTTGCATTGCATTTGGGGGGGTGTCACCTTTAGAACCTTGTGTGGTTCTCAACCCCTTCCCTCAAAATAGGGAGCACTTCATACGTGCACGTTTATTTATTGTTATCCCCATTTTATTTTATTTTCGTGGGCGTTTCCCACACCGCCTTGTAGGATTAGGATCGATCGCCTTGGGTAGGCGGCTGGTGTGCTCTGCGCCCATAGCGCTACCTAAGGGATCACTCGAGCCACCGATCAAAGGCCCTGGGAGTGATGACCCTTCGCCTTTAGGTCTGAAGGCTTGGGAGCCGAGACTTATCGAGTCTAGTTGCATTAGTGAGCCCCAGCCTCATGCATCCATATTAGACTCGCCTAGGGTAGAGTCGGCCTCACCTTTTTTAAGCACATTAGGCACGAGGGAAGGGGTTCCACCCCTTTTACTTGCTTTATTGTACTTCTTTTTCTTTCTTAATTGCTCCCAATATGTTACGTGTACTATCAATTGTACTAACTATTCTTGCGTTTTCTTGGCTTGCATTCATGTGCCATAGCAATAAGAGGCCTCTTTGGCACTCTTTTTGTGACTTACCCGCTAGATAGCTCACATGTTTAATTTCAGTCATTACACTTAATTTTTAATAACTACATTTCATTTTTAGACCTCTTTCCCCCCGATGCATTATTTATGCCCTTTAGGCCATATTTGTTGCATATTTTACTGCTTTAAATAACTGGCATCACGCATAAACCATAGAAAGGGAATGCCACGTAGGGAATCCCGTGTTTAGGAATAAGCCGTCACATGTCTCGGATATTTAATCCAATGGGACTTACACGTTTACTATTTCTGCATTACCTAAAGGGTAAAATCCCGAGGTAAGGTACTAAAGTGAATTTCTTCCCCAGATGGCTCCGTGTAGAATGCTCAATCAGATACCTCGTGAGCTAGTAGATTGGAAGAACAATATGGCACATGAAGTGAACGGACTTTTCCCGTATATAGGACATTTACCTAGTCTCTTGAACATAACTCCGAATGTAGCCATTGTCCAAGCTTTGCTCAGTTCTGGGATCCAGACAGCTCTGTTTTCCGATTTGGAGAGTGCGAATTAACACTAACCCTGGAGGAGATAGAAGGATTGTTACAAGTGCCTGGGAAAGGTCACCCTATGGTATACCCAATGAATGGCACCAGAGAACAATTTTGTAAGTTCTTAGGGTTAAAACAGTTTAGCATGAGTCAACACCCGGACGTAAGATCATGCCCGCTGGAGTTCTTATACAAGCGATTCGGGGAAAAGGAATCCTATGATCATCACCACGAGGACTTTTTCGTTAGTAGAGAACAGTGGGAAGAGAAACGAGTACTAGCTTTTGGGATAACTCTGATTAATCTACTCCTGTTTCCGAAAAAGCATGGGAAAGTTACGTTTTCAACGGTCAACATGGTTCAGAGTGTGTTTTTGGGAATTAGAGGAAAAACTCCTACCTTAGTACCCGTTATCATTGCTGACATTTTCGCCGTTGTTACTGAGTGCCGAAAGAAGAGAGGGTTTTTCTATGCATCCAACCTGGTACTTCAAATATGGGCGATGGAGCATCTGTCAAAAAGAACACTGAATCCGTTGGGATCATGCCTTCCAACAGCAAATTGGGTTGAGTCGCACACCGAGAGAGGGTTAGAAAATACTATCGAATAGAGTCTCCGAGTTTGTTTATTCAGGAATTCAATGCTTTGACTTCGGATAAGATACAATGGGTTCTTGATTGGACGAAAGTAAGGGATCCAGCTTTCAGGACAACACAACTTGATTTTATCCCGTTAGCAAGCACCGGTGGATTGATTGTGTATGTGCCACAACGAGTTATGAGACAGTTTGGGTATCCGCAGCGAGTGCCGACCATACAAAGGATGGGGAGCATCGAACTCAATACAGTCACCGAATGCCAGACTATGGTGCTGGAAGCTTGGGGGAATCTGTGTAGTCTGGACAACCTGCATTTGGACCAAGTGAATAAAGTAGAGCCTAAGGTCGTCTTAGAGTACAACGAATGGATCAAATCAATAATGGAACAAGGAAGAGAAAGGGCATCGTTGGTCTCCCTTAGTCTTGAGGAGCAGAATGAAAAGTTGAGGAAAGAGTTGGAGAATCGTCAGTTGCAGATCATGGTAGCCGATCAAGCATTGGAAGACGCCCGCTCACAATTGAAGAAAGAGGCCACAAAGACCGAGAACTTGGAAAAGGCATTGAGTGCATTTGGCCAAATCCAAGATGAAATTCGGAAACTTAGTATCGGGAGTTCTAGGGAGTCCCAACACACTAAACTAGCTAGACATGAAGACTTTGTAAGAATGGTCAGTCGAACCATCAATGAAATTGTAAAGAAGGATTAAGCTTATCCATGATTAATGAGAATTCCTGTTTTTATATTCACTTACAGGTTTGAAAAATGGGATTTACCCCGAAGGCTTGCATCATGCTAGGCCTACCCTTGGCACAAAAAGGGCTCCCAAATAGGACATGCATCCGAATTATTTTACTTTTTACTAACTCCTGTTTTTTTTTCTTTTATTTTTTCTTCTTTTTTTGGCAACAGTCAATCAAGAAGGGCATCTAATAAGGGTTTTCCTACGTCTCCAGGTAATATTTAAATATAGCTAGCTACCCGAAGAAGCCCCATTATCACCCGATCGCGTAGCCGAGCTTCGAGGGAAAGTGTAAACATGAGTACCCATCCGGAATCATCTGAAAGGCCCGCAACATCATCAACTGATTTGGCAAATCTGGGAGCTCAGCTGAGCGAGGTTCTCAACCGGTTTAATGAGCTAAGTGTTGAAATGATGGCCCAACGGCATGTAATCGATCAATTGGTAGCTAGTGGCGCTAGCGGTGAGCAGCAACATGCACCCTTACCCCCGGGCCAATCTGAACCAATACTCTTACCATATGCTCAAATCTCGTTTCTTCACAAGCTATGAATCCACCCGAAGAAACCTTTACTTATCCCACTCATGGCCCACCACCTACATATGCACCTCACATCCAAACTAATCCTCCTCAAGTCCAAATTTCCCAGAATTATCCGCCCATTACTGTGAGCATGCCTTTCGAACCACAAGGACCACATTATTACGCCACCGCTGAACCATTCACCCTAGATACCGCCGTTCAAGGAAAACTGAAGTTGGGGGTCGTCCGTGCCCGTGGACAAGAATTTACTAAAGAGATTGGATCGGTTCGAGGAGTTTATAAGGAAAAGCCAAGGTGTGAGCAAACAAGGAGGTTTGGACTACAACGAGCTGTGCCTGTTTCCGGATATGCAGTTGCCGGTGGGTTTCAAAGCACCCAAAATTTACCAAGTACGACGGAACGGGGAATCCCAAAACCCACCTTCGGATGTTTGCAAACAAGCTGGGAAGACCAATAGACGATGAGAATCTGCCGTACGCTTATTTCCCGAGAGTTTAGAAGGCGACGCGTTGGATTGGTATTCCAATTTGAAGCCTGAAGATATGAAATCTTGGATGGATTTATCGACTGCTTTTGTGAGGCAGTATGAATATAATTGTGAGCTCGCTCCGACGAGGACCACATTGGAGGGGACCAAGAGGAAGCCATCGGAGGACCATAAGACATATGCGAAGAGATGGAGGAAATTGGCCGCCAAAGTGGAGCCGCCTATGACTGAAAACGAGATTGTTCGCACGTTTATTAAAGCTCATGACCCACCCTACTTTGAAGAGATTTTCCGTATGACTGGGTGTTCCTTTGCTGAAATTGTTAACAAATTGGAAGAGTATGACGAGTTTATAAGGGCAGGCAAGATTGTTAATGTTTCAGCTTTAAAGTCACAGTTGGAAGCTATGCAGAGTCAGAGTGGCAGTAGTAAAAAGGCTCAATTTAAGAAGAAAGATGAGGAAGCCTCTTTTGTCTGGGACCAGGGTTTTTCTTCTCGGCCTAGATACCAACAAAATCCCACCTACTCACCTTGTTACTTATATCAACCACACCCACGCCCTGTTTACAATACCACTATCAACCACCCCCGTCCTCGACCAAATTATCCAAACACACACATCGACGCCATTTCATGTTTCCCCACCAAACTTGCAAATTAGACCTCGCCCTCCTTTTAACCCAAGACCTATTCCATCTCCTAACCCAAATTACCAGTACCAACAAACCCGTGACACCCAAAATCCAACCCCATACCGAACCTTTACCAATCTAGGTCGACCTGTTGACCAGTTATATGAGCAATTAAAAGCTGCTGGGAAGATTGGTACGGTACCCCCTAAGACCTATCCCAGGGGATTTCCCCCTGGTTATGATCCTCAATCGTTTTGCGCTTATCATTCGGGATCCCCTGGACATCCGACGGCCAATTGCTGGGCACTTAAGCATAAAATTCAAGATATGATTGATGCTGGAGACATAATTCTGAGAAGGAAAGATGAACAAGGGCCAAGTGTTAGCAACAATCCTTTTCCTCAGCACAAGGATACTGTGGGGACTATCACCATAGAGGAAGGGATTGAGGACCCTACACAGTACATTGTAGACGAGGCCGAGATCATGGGGGTCATTGGAGAACCGTTTATATTGGAGGAGGAAGCCTATAAAGTTGAAGAGAATACTGATCCTTTTATTTTGGAAATGATACCCTTCGAATGTGAGCCTTCGGAACTCGTGGTACTTGAATTGCCTGAGCAAACTCCTGTTCTTAATTTACAAGAGGTCCCGTGGAATTATAGCGAACCTACACTGTTAATTGGAGAGAGGAAGGTGCCTAAGAAGGAAGTGGATGCCATCACTAGATCAGGGAGAATCATAGGGGAGCCTGCAGTTGATGAGTCCTCAAAAGCAAAAGAAGGTGCTACACCAACGAAACCCATAGTGACGGATGAAGAGGCTTTTAATTTCCTTAAGATGTTAAAGAAGAGTGAGTATAAGGTAGTCGAGCAATTGGACAAGATGCCCGCTCAAATTTCCATGTTAAATCTGCTCTTAACCTCGGAACTTCACCGAGAGGCCTGGTCAAGGTCTTAACTGAGGCTCAAGTGCCTAAAAATATTCCAATTGACAAATTCGCCAATGTAGTTGAACATGTTTTGGCTTCCAGTCGGATTTCTTTTTCTGATGAAGATCTAACTGCCGAGGGGATTGGACACAACAAAGCTTTGTATATCTCAGTCCGCTGTAACGGGAAACTCTTGCCAAAGGTTCTGATAGACAATGGCTCCGCTCTCAATATCTGCCCTTGGAATACTTTGGTTAAGTTAGGATTTCAAGAGACTAAATTGCGGCCGTCAACCACTGTGGTGAGAGGATTTGATGGCGCAAAAAGTGAACCAATGGGGGAAGTGGATTTAGTGATCGAAATCGGACCTGCCCAGTTTCAGGTCATGTGCCAAGTCATGAATTTTTCAAGTGTTTATAACATTCTCCTTGGACGGCCTTGGATTCACACCTCGGGCGCTATACCCTCTTCACTTCATCAGTTGCTGAGGTTTGTGGTGAATGATCAATTGATCACAGTTTTTGCAGAGGATGATTGCACAATGATTGTTAACTCTGGACCAAATGAGGAGGATAGTAAAACATCTCTGCTTTCTTCTCACATGTGGCTGACATTGTTTCCGTAGGATGGATATCTAAGGAGAAGCCCGTGGTGGAAATGAATCTGCCAGAAGCTAGTGTTATGATGGCTAAAGAGATGATTCGAGGAAGATATGAGATGGGCAAGGGCCTCGGGCGCAACCTGCAGGGAGTTTTGGAGCCAATAGAACTTCAAGGAAAGAAGGATACTTTCGGATTAGGGTTTCAACCTACTGCCAGGGATAAGAAAGAAATGATGAATCGTAAAAAGGCGGAGAAGGAAGGAAGGCAGCTTATCATGAATATCCCACCATTGTATTGTACTTTTCCTTACCCATCAGAGGTGATCAAATCTGAAGTAGACCCGATCGAGGAAGTGGAGGTTGGGTTATCTGAGCTATTTGTGGGGGTTATTTCTGAAAGGGAGCCGTTGGAGGACCCAGGATTTCCAGAGGTGCCTATTGAAGCAATGAAGAACTGGACCCGTGATCCTCTTCCCTCCTGCAGGGAATTTCGGTAAATTAGGGGATTGCCTTTGGTCGACATGAGACAAATCGTTTATACTACTTATCTTTTGTCTTTCAAGTTTGTAAATAGTTTTCAATCAAATGTTTTCCAATGCAAGTCTTGCGTTAATTTTCTTGTTAAGTAGCATGTCATGATGTTATCCTTTACTTTGAATTTCAATGAAATGCACAGTGTTTATGGCCCAAATGGATTTAACTTACTTCCTATTGTACTCATTTCATTTTTTTTTCAGATGGCCAGAAATAAAACACATTGACCCTTTGGATATCACTATTCTGGAATTTGATGATTGTAATCTCGATATCTCTCACGAATTTGAAATTTTGGAATCAGAAATTCAAGACGAGAGCGATAACGAGGAAGAATCTGAATCTTTATTAAAGGATTTTGAACAATATGAGGAGAAATCCAAACCGAACTTAGAAGAAACAGAAGCTGTTAATATTGGCACTGAGACTGAAGTTAAGGAGATAAAAGTTAGCATTCATTTGAATAAGAAACAGAGAAAAGAGATGATTGAGTTCTTGACCATGTTTCAAGATGTATTTGCCTGGTCCTATGATGATATGCCTGGAATTTCAACAGATATAGTGGTCCACCGATTACCGACTGATCCAAGTTTTCCACCAGTAAAGCAGAAACCTCGCAAGTTTAAGCCGGACATGAGCCTCAAAATTAAGGAGCAAATCGAGAAACAGCTCAATGCTAGAATTATTATGGTGTCTCATTATCCCATTTGGCTTTCAAACCCTGTACCTGTTCCGAAGAAAAGTGGAGAAGTGCGAGTATGTGTCGATTACAGGGATCTTAACAAGGCCAGCCCGAAAGATGATTTTCCATTGCCGAACATTCATATTCTTTTGGATAATACCGCAGGGCATGAGATTGAATCATTTGCTGATTGTTTTGCTGGATATCACCAGATCTTAATGGCTGAGGAGGATAGGGAGAAAACTGCTTTTATCACGCCATGGGGGACATTTTGTTACCGAGTAATGCCGTTTGGACTAAAAAATGCAGGCGCTACTTATCAAAGGACTATGACCACCCTTTTTCATGATATGATTCATAAGGAGATGGAGGTTTATGTGGACGATATCATTATCAAATCCGAGAGAACGGAGGATCATTTGATTGACTTGGGGAGGTTATTTGAAAGATTGAGGAAATATGATTTAAAACTAAACCCTGCAAAGTGTGCATTTGGGGCCCCTGCCGGAAAGTTATTGGGATTCATTGTCAGTAAGAAGGGTATTGAGATAGATCCGGCAAAGATTAAGGCCATTCGTGAGATGCCAGTGCCAAGAACGCAAAAAGACGTGAAGAGTTTTTTAGGAAAGATTAATTTTATTGGGAGATTCATTGCCCAATTGACCCATACGTGTGAGCCTTTGTTCAAATTATTAAAGAAAAATGTGTCCTTGCAATGGAATGAGGAATGCCAGCAAGCGTTTGATAAAATTAAAGATTACCTGTTGCACCCCCGGTTTTAGTGCCACCCAAACCCGGGCGACCTTTGATCATGTATCTATCGGTGTTGGACGAAGCTATGGGGTGTGTATTGGGACAACATGACGAATCGGGGAAGAGGGAGCAAGCTATCTATTACCTTAGTAAGAAGTTCACTGCGTATGAGGCCAACTATTCTTTTCTTGAGAGGAGTTGCTGTGCTCTAGCTTGGGCCGTCCAAAAATTGAGACATTACTTGCTCAGTCATACTACTTACCTTATTTCCCGCTCCGACCCTTTGAAATATTTGTTGGGAAAGCCTATGCCGACGGGACGTATGGCGAAATGGCAGATGATTCTTTCGGAATTTGACATTATTTTCACTACTCAAAAGGCCATCAAAGGCCAGGCTGTGGCCGACCATTTAGCTGAAAATCCGCTGAAAGATGACTATCAACCACTTCACACTTATTTTCCGGATGAGGAGGCCTTGTTCGTGGGTATAGCAGAAGATATGAATGATCAATGCCCGGAGTGGAGGTTGTTCTTTGACGGTGCATCAAATTCCTTCGGGGCCGGTATTGGAGCTGTTCTAGTATCGCCTGAAGGAAAACATTACCCTGGTTCGGCCAAACTCCGATTTTCCTGTACTAACAACATGGCTGAATATGAAGCTTGCATTTTTGGGTTAAAAATGGCATTAGAAATGGAGATTAAGGATTTACTAGTATTCAGTGATTCAGATTTGCTTGTACATCAGACTCTTAAGGAGTGGATTACTCGGGATTCAAAGATCTTGCCCTATCATTGCAACTTACTGGAGTTAGCCAATAAATTTAGGAGTTTGGAGTTTCGGCATATTCCCCGTGTCAGAAATGTCTTCGCCGATGCATTGGCCACTTTATCTTCAATGATCCAACATCCGGATGAGTTAATAATTGAACCCATCCAGATTCATCTACAAGGGAAACCTGCTCACTGCCTAGTTGTGGAAAAGTCTTCCGATGGCCGTCCCTGGTACAATGATATCAAGGAATTTCTCAAAACAGGATCCTACCCATCTGGGGCTGATATGACTGCCAAAAGTTTCTTGCGTAGATTATCATCTAAATTCTTCTTGAATGGAGAAGTAGTATACAGAAGAACGTCGGATTTGGGCCTTCTGAGGTGTGTTGACGAAGATGAAGCGGAATACCTGATGAAGGAAGTACATAGTGGAGTGTGTGGATCACATATGAATGGCCATTTATTAGCAAAGAAGATCATGAGGACTGGATATTTTTGGCTTACTATGGAGCATGATTGTATAGTTTTTGTTAGGAAATGCATCAAGTGTCAATTGCATGGAGATGTTATGCACACTCCCCCTACAGAATTACACAGTATGACTGCTCCTTGGCCATGTTCGATGTGGGGTATGGATGTGATCGGAGCCATTGACCCTCCCGCTTCAAATGGGCATCGGTTTATTCTGGTGGCAATTGAATACTTTACTAAGTGGGTCGAAGCTGAGTCTTATAAACATGTGACTAAGAAGGTGGTAACAGACTTTCTAAGAAAGAATATCATTTGTCGTTTCGGAGTGCCGGAGACATTAATCACTGATAATGCCAAAAATCTCAACAATGACATGGTGGATGGTTTGTGCGCACAGTTCAAAATCAAGCATCGAAACTCCTCTATTTATAGGCCACAAATGAATGGAGCAGTAGAGGCTGCGAATAAGAACTTGAAGAAAATAATCCGTAAGATGATTGAGAGACACCGTGATTGGCATGAAAAGCTCCCTTATGCGTTAATGGCATATAGAACTGTTATTCGGACTTCTACTGGGACGACTCCCTACAATCTCATGTATGGAATGGAAGCAGTTTTACCAGCCGAAGTCGAAATCCCTTCTTTGCGTATTTTAATGGAGGCCAAACTGGAGGAGGCTGAATGGATTCAACAACGTCATGAGCAGTTGTCTTTAATCGATGAGAAAAGGTTAAATGCCATTTGTCATGGTCAATGCTATCAAAAAAGGGTAGCCCGTGCTTACAATAAGAGGGTCAGACCACGGGTGTTCACAGAAGGAGATAAAGTGTTGAAACACATTTTGCCAGCACAAGAGGAAGCTAAGGGGAAATTTGCACCAAATTGGCAAGGCCCTTTTATTGTCCGAAAGTTTTGCCCGGAGGAGCGCTCATTCTTGCAGAAATGGATGGGCAAGTGTTCCCTCAACCAATCAAATTCAGATATGTGTAAGAAATTCTTTATATGATAAATGAAAATCTTCCTTTAGGGTTAATGTGAGGAAAGATTAAAAGTCAGGCCTTCTTCCTTCCCAATCAAACATTCTATCCCTAGTTGTCCCTTTTGAGCTTTCAGAGCAAATTATTTCGTTTGGCATCCCCTGAGAATCGCAACAGATACTGGGGCAAGTTTTGAGTCGAAAAAGCTAAGAATGAGAAAGAAAGGAAAAGAAGAGAAAAGAAAAGAGAGGATTCAAAAGGAAAAGCTATAAAGGAAAATGAAAAGAAAAATGAAAAGAAGAAGATCTCGATTGAGAATAACTGGGGCAATTATTAGTAGGTTAATTTGAAAAATGCGATCTCAGATCATTTAAACCACACTTGAAATCCGCTTTCAAACCTTAATCTTTTCTAAGCACCCCACCAGACCCCATTACAAAAACCTAAAAGTCCTGACTTCTGTTCTTTATACTGCCTTTTTAGGACAATTTCTAATCAAGTGGCACATGATGTCAAAAACATCTTCGCCTATTTTGCAAGGGAAGAATTGTTATACTGATGCCATTATTTCTTAAAACACATCTCCAGATTGATATGGGCGATAGACAAGATTGGTTTGCTAGGTGAAAACCCGCAAGGGCACCTAAAAAAAAAAAAAAAAAAAAGAGAAAAAAAACAAAAAGAAAAGGAAAAAGAAACCCAGGAAAAGGAAATAATGGGCGGGGGCAACCTTAGTGAAAACCCGAAAGGGCGCTGAGGTAGGGTTTTATAAGGAAAAGTGAGTTTGGATTTGAAGAGCTGGTGACTTAGTTCATTGGAATTTCTCCTTACATTGTGGTTCTGTTGTCAAGTATTGGAACTCCGAAGAGATGATGTCCAAAGGGTCAAGTGTAGCACTTTGTTCGAAAGCCAAAGTTTTTGACTTATCAGACACGAAATTTGAGTATACAGGCTTACTTATTTGAAATGATTTTTTGTGCAATAAAAGTAGAGGATTGTGTTTATATTGTTAAGATCTTTCATCATTATGTGCAACTAGAATGTTTTTCATGTGTTGCATGGTCGCATTTGTCTCTTTTGTTCTATCAAATGGCAATCCCTATGATTTATCGAAGAGAATAGATACTAGATGATACGCGGGTCTGCATATTATGAGAATTTGACATGGTTTGCAGGGCCGGGTTGAAGTGCTCACTTCGTCGAACAAGAAGCCCAAATGCTCATGTTTACACTTTTCTTGAAGAAGAGGTTGATCGAATGATGGCGGTATTATCTATCATTATTTCTTTTCTTGCAGGTCGGACAATCCGATAAGCATCACACTGGGGCAATTTTAGAGGAAGTTGTTTACCATTTGTTTTCTCAAAAGCCTACGAAAGTTTATATGAATAGATCAACTGACCGCTTTTATGTTCCGTTGGGCATGGGTTTTATCCCTCCGACCTCGGCAGGCTTGGGTTTTATCCCACTGACTGCTTTTATTTTTTTTTTTTTTCGTTGGGCATGGGTTTTATCCCTCCGACCTCGGCAGGCTCGGGTTTTATCCCACTGACCGCTTTTTTTTTTTTTTTCTTTTTTTTCGTTGGGCATGGGTTTTATCCCTCCGACCTCGGCAGGCTCGGGTTTTATCCCACTGACCGCTTTTATGTTTCGTTGGGCATGGGTTTTATCCCTCCGACCTCGGCAGGCTCGGGTTTTATCCCACTGACCGCTTTTATTTTTTTTTTCTTTTTTTTCGTTGGGCATGGGTTTTATCCCTCCGACCTCGGCAGGCTCGGGTTTTATCCCACTGACCGCTTTTATGTTTCGTTGGGCATGGGTTTTATCCCTCCGACCTCGCAGGCTCGGGTTTTATCCCACTGACCGCTTTTATTTTTTTTTCGTTGGGCATGGGTTTTATCCCTCCGATCTCGGCAGGCTTGGGTTTTATCCCACTGACCGCTTTTATGTTTCGTTGGGCATGGGTTTTATCCCTCCGACCTCGGCAGGCTCGGGTTTTATCCCACTGACCGCTTTTATTTTTTCGTTGGGCATGGGTTTTATCCCTCCGACCTCGGCAGGCTTGGGTTTTATCCCACTGACCGCTTTTATGTTTCGTTGGGCATGGGTTTTATCCCTCCGACCTCGGCAGGCTCGGATTTTATCCCACTGACCGCTTTTATGTTCCGTTGGGCATGGGTTTTATCCCTCCGACCTCGGCATGCTTGGGTTTTATCCCACTGACCGCTTTTATGTTCCGTTGGGCATGGGTTTTATCCTCCGACCTCGGCAGGCTCGGGTTTTATCCCACTGACCGCTTTTTTTGACCATCTGCTTGATCATTGGATTGATAGTTAGTCTGTCAGTCATTTTGTATTTCATGTTTAGAAGTTCTGAGAGTTTGACTTCTTCTACTTTGCAAAGATCAAATATAGTCAATGCACTTGCATCCGAACTACGTTTGACCTGATTCCCGTTATGGGATACGTAGGCAACTCTACATGAGTTCGGTCATATTTTCTACAATGTTATTACATCATTTTGTCCAATAATTTCAGCCGAGTGTTGACTTGTTTGTTTTATTTTCAGAAGCAGATAGAAGAGACAGGTAAGTATTTGGTGTCTACTTCTTTGTCTCAAGTTTTTTCAAAACTCAGACAAAGAGGGGCAAACTGTAGACACCAAATTTTTGGTGTAATTTCATGTTTTTTTTTATTATTTTTTAGTTTTTATTTTTAGTTTTTTATTTGTATAGTGTTAGTTTTATTCGCTTTTTAGTTTTTAGTTTCTAGTTTTGTTTTTATTTTTAAGTTTTTATCATGGAATTTCTTGAAAAAGGAAAAAAAGAAAAAGAAAAGCATTCAAAAAATATGATTTAGTCTTTTAAATTCAATGTTTTCTTGAAACTAAAAAAAAGAAAAATGAAAAATGCAAGAAAAGATTGAAAATGGCAATTTTGTTGTTTTAGTTTGTTTATTTTGATGTAAAATTGTTATATTTTATTACTGAGCTTTTATTATCATTTTGTTACATTACCTAAAAAAAAAAAAAAAAAAAACGGTGCTAGTCACGGCAAGCTGCAATTTTTGCAGCTTGCAAAGGAGGACCTGTGCAGCCCTTAGCTGCAAATATGATGGAATGTTTGAGGGTTTAGGGTTGTGGTTTCTGGATATAAAAGGGAAGAGAAAACAGGCAGCCGCAAGGAAGGGATTGGAGGGGAACGAAAAAGAAAAGGGCGAGAGAAGGAGGTAACAACGGCTAAGGTTGGTAAGAAACTAGAAACCAGGAGTGAGAGGGAGAGTTCGTGGGGACGGAAAACACAACAGAGGATTTTTCTGGACAACGGAGGAGAGGAGCAAAAAGAGGGAGACAACGGCAGGAGTTCTTGGGGGGTTGAACGGCTGTGAGAAGAGTGGCTAGGAGAGAAAGAGCAAGAGAGGAGGATTTGGAGAACCAAGGGAGAACTAGAGAGAGGTGGCGCAGCAAGGAGGAGGAGCCCCAACGTCATCATCATCTTCGATTCATCAAGCAATACGAGTACTGCGGACCTGAAGAAGAACGTTGACAGCCGAGGAAGATAAAGCTTTTAGGCTGCGCAAGGACGCCCAGTTCATCAGCCCAGATCCTGTTCTTTCCTCTGGAAAGGGATAAAGGTAACGCCTTTCATTTGTCTTCTGCCCATAGCTTGTAAAATCATGCCAGAAAGGTTGAAATTTTGCTGCGATGCTAGATTTTGTTTTGCTGCGAGTTTGGTTTTTCTTTTTCTGCACTTCTGTGATTGGCAACCCGGTCAGGTTATCTGGCTTTGGGGCAATGTTATGAGAGTCATGTGATTATGAACGGACTGTTGTGAAGCTTGTCTGAATTTTCTCTTTTCTTCTTACGCATGAGTAGATTGGGTTTGGACTGAAATAATTGTAGAAACAGATTTTTTCTGGGTTCAAAATTGTAGTGGGCGTTGATGCTTTCTTTGCTCTTTTTCTTTTGTTTCTTCACTACTGAGATTGATGTTTGGTAGATGAATGGGGAGTCCAATGCAATGTTTCTGCCTTTAATTTACGTGAACCCATAGCTGCAGAAAGTTTCCGCAACAAAGAACAAAAGGAATTGCATTTCCTGTTCCGTTTTCTTTTCCATAGCTGCACATCAAATCTTTCCACTTAAGTTGCATGTTTAATCTGTTTTGGGGGAATGGAAATAGGAGGTTAGGTGTTGAGTTTGCATGTTTAGGGTCTAAAATACTAGAACCATGATCGAACACCTTGTTGAAAAGCAAACAAACAGGCTGCCGAAACCATTTCTGCACTTACGTTCAGATTTCTGGTATGATATCTTCCCAAATTTTTGGTCTTTGGTTTGTGATTATCATGAAGTTTTGTTGCTTAGTTCTGAGGTTGTGATGTTGAGATGAAGAATGTTTAATCAAAGCATTGTATTTGGGCCAAAAATCTGGTTTGCATGATAAGCTGTGGCTGGAAAAGAAAATTGCAGCTGACTTTGATGCCAAAAGTCTTCATGATTTATCGAAGCTTGTTGTTGCAGAAACTCTCTTCACATCTTGCATAAAGGCCTCATTAGAATAGGTTGAGTTTTGTGAATAAATTGCTGTGCTAACAACAAAAGTGAATATCGTTGATCTTACTTGCTTTTTCCAGATTTGCATGCTCCTTGGTGAATAATTTTCTCAGCACTTTCATGATCTCTTGCTAGTTGTAGCATGTTTAAATGTTGAACATTTGTTTGTTTAGTTTAGAGTTCGGATGTTAGGGTATGAAAGTTTGAGTTTGCATGTTGGGAGTTTAAAACATTCGAATCCTATTCGGGTATTTGCTGGAAAGTGAACAATCCAGTTACTGAATGTTTGCTGTTTTGTTTAGTTTCTTTCCCAGCATTTAAATGATTTTCTTTCTATGTTTGGCATTGTTAGATATTGAATTTGTGTTGCATGTTGCTAAGATAAGGTTTCTAGATGTTTTGATTGAACGGTTTTGATCAAGTTTGGGTGTTAAAGCTGATATCGGCATGTGAAAATGCAAGTTACGTTGATCTTCTTGATTGCAGAAATGTTTTCTTGTTGCAGGCCATTTCACGTTGATTTGCATGAGTTTGCATGGAAAGCTTTCAGAAAATTGCATTTTTTGACCCCCAAGTTCCCTTTTGTCTTGCTATGGCCCAATTAGTTGAATAATTTAATCAATTTTATCATTTATCTTAATTGCTTTTGGTTTGCTTTGACATGATTTTGGGTAAGGCGTTTAGTGAGTTTTAGGATGCATTTTGAGGTTCAATAAGTTCTAATAGAATTTTTAGCTTGGATTTGTGTTCTAAACACATTTTTGGCATTTGATTTTTATGGGTCTCATCTTAATTCATCAATTTTGGTATTTTATTTTACTCTCTTTTAGAAATTTTCATGTCCTTCTAATTAAGTCCCTCTTGCATTAATTGCTTTGTACATAGTTGGTTTGTCTATGTAAATACTTTAATTGACTCAATTTAGTGTTTAACTTTCATTTTTCATATTTAATTTTTGTTTCATGTGATTATTTGATAATTTAAGTGGTACCTTGACCTTTTTATTATTTTGGAGGGTAAGTTAGTAATTTCACTACGTTAGGGCGTCGCTTCAAGGGAGGTACACTCTATCCTTCATTTGCACTACATTTGACCTTACGTGCTCCTACGTGTTATGTGAATATGCATGCCTACTCCGCTTTCCTTACCTCCTTGCGTGCATTTAGTTGCTTTTACTTTTATTTAAGCTTTATGGGGTATGTGTACACCTCTTGGCTTGTAATAGATAGGGTTTTGGCGAGCAATTTGGTCCATTCTCCCTCTTCCCCCTTTTGTTTTAGTTAGTGAATGTAATAGGTTCATTAGCTTGGTTGCATGCCCATGTGCTACATGTTACTTGCTTTATTAGGGCCTTGCATCTAGTCGAGCATGCTAAGTGTTACATGCTACGTGTTTATGAATTTTGATATGCCTACTCGCTTTCCATAGCCTTGAATGAATGTGATGGATGAATGCACGTCACCACGCTAGTCAACGCTAGTTGTGGCCCTTGTACGCCACCACACTAGTCCAACGCTAGCTGTGGTTCATTGTTCCGTTCCACTAGTCCAACGCTAGTAGGAACTCATAGAGGGCTAGTCCAACGCTAGACCCAATAGGTCCATTTCCTTTTCATTAGTGCATTATTTGCATGTTCACTACATATCATGTAATTTTCTTAGTTTTATCATTTGGCATGCTCCTTTAAACCTTTCCCTTCACTTTAGGTCTTGCATTTCATGCTAGTTAGGGTACATTTGCTTGAGTGTCCCCTCCGATAAGGGAAACGAGCGAGTGTGGCTACTCGATAGCCTTAGCACGCTAGTTTCGCCTTCTAATCAAAGGGAAAATAGAAGTCGAAAAGTTAGGAGTCAACCCCCGTACCCGACTTGTTGCATTCCCTAGGGTCATACTTTCATTTTTATCACATCCATACACTTTTTTAACCACAATTTTGCACATTTCTCAAACCATACTTTCTCACTACATTTTCCTATCACGTGCTCATTTCCACCTCACAAATGAAATTCCACTTTACCTTATATATCTATTATTCTATTTTTCACACATTTGCACACAAAAAACACTTGAATTTTATACAATTTCACACATGCACCTTTTTATACATTCGCACACTTGCACTTACATTTCTTGCATCTTTCATACACTTTCACACTTGCACACTTGAATTTGAACTCTCATTTGCATTAATCGACCTCTATGAGGTTTTCCTTTGTTGGCCGCCACAATTCATGTGGTTTGGGACCAAAAACCTTACAAGAGACATTTTAGAATTTAGGTTTGCATTTTGTCCTTCTTTTTGCATTCATGTAGTGCATCCAAATGTAATAAATTCTTTGGTTAAAACAAGAAAAATTTTGATTAAATCATGCAACTAGCCTTGGCTAGGTCAAAGGGGTGCCTTGGTTTTTATCCTTGCCTTCCCCTTTGTCAAATGTGACTCCGAACCTTTTTCATTGGTTTACGTAGATTATGAGTCGTTTAAAAAGGGTTTCTCACTACTTTTTCTTATTTTTCCTAAAAATCCATTTTAGGTGACTTGGTACACCTTAACTCATTACCAAGTGGCGACTCCCATTTTTTCAAAAACCCTTTTTAAACTATAATTTTGGGTCAAATCGTCGCATTCTCAAACCCCCATTTAGGCCCATTCATTTTCTTTTAAATCACGATTCATTTTCCAATCATCACAAAATCCATTTTTCAAACCATTTATTTATTTCATCAAAAAATGGGGCGCGACTGGCCTCACGAGCGTTTTGCTCACCCCGTAGATTTGTTTTCCTTAACAGGATTGGACATGGAATGAACTTGGAGAAACCCCTTTTGATGCACTTCTGGCTTAGGGTTTCTAATGTAATTTGGGCTAGACCTCTTATTAGTTGTACTCTTGGGAACTAAATGTATGATTTGGATAATTGATGTACCCAGATGTGGTATATTTTGGGTATTGATGTAACTTTTGGGAATTTCATGTAAGGGTTGGATAAATGTTATATATATTGTTAAGTTTGAAAGTTTTTCGCACTTTCTTATTTATCCAGTGCTGTTGAATAGTTTTGCATTAAGTTTGAACGGAAATTGCTTAAGTCCTGGCGAGAGTTGGGCAGGCGTCCTGCGGACACCCTCTGGTTCGCCTTAGAGAGAAGTAGGGGCGTCACAGTTGGTATCAGAGCTTATACTTTAGATCTCTGTAGTGTATCCTAGGTTTAAAAGTTTTGGATGCCGGACTGTGGAACTGGTTAGGAAGTTAAGTGACAGCTTGTGAAAAAGAAAATTTGAACCTAGGTTTGAATTAGTGGATGACAAGGAGTCTTGATCTTGTGTGATACATGTGGGATAGTACGAAATGATCAGATCTAATTTATTGAATATATCTGGACCTACATGAGCTTTTACTTTTAAGGGTAAGCTATGGGAGGTAAGGGTGATATTAAACAATTTCGGGATGCCTTCCGGTGGTCCATTATCGAGAAAGATCTAAAGGAGCATTGGAGAGATAATCCAATTCACAAAATTAGGACTTTATGTGATTTTCAAAGGATTTGCTCGCGCCCAAATAATGGGGTGTTAATAGTGGTCGATCATTAAAAGTGGCTATCCGAGGAAATTAGGGTGATTCGAGGGGATAATCGAAAACTTAGGGTAATTGCGGGATGCCTAGACTACTAGAATTCCTGAAGTGGAAATTGAGATACTTAAGGAGCGAGGAAGACAAAGGCTCCTTGTGAGAAAATTGAAAAAACTAAGACCCGACTTGTTAGGGTAGTGGCCGAAATTAAAGATAGGATGGATAAGTCGATGGCTGGATATGTTACCTTGGTTGAACAAGTTGAGAATGACAAGATATTCGATAAGGGACATGAGATCTAAAACTCCTAGTGCTGGAAATGAAAATGATCCTACGGAGGTAATGAAGATTTTTGGCTCGCCAATCACTAAATTAGTGATTTAAACTATTTTAATCGTTTTGCCAAAGATAGACGGGGTGGCACTCGCTTAAAGACCATTGCATTTTGTATCTTGTTTTACTATGTTTCCTATCTTTTGAGGCAATTAAACGTTACTCATGACATGCTTGACTTTACTGCTTTATGAT